TGCTGTTCGCTCGATGACGAAAAAGGAAAAAGAAATGTTGTTGCAATTTTGTAGTGTAAATACATAGCAGACCAAATATCTTGAAACTTCAATATCGTCGTTTGTGTACGCTCGGCAAATCTCATATTTTACCTTAAATAGTTTGGTACTGCATGAGATCATTTATTCGATTGAAATATGATCAAAATCCTGAGCTTGCAGTACAAGACCTTCTATTATGAGCTTTCTTACAGATTTAGTTTTCTAATCTTTTACTTGATTGAATCCAATTTTGTTCTATTCTTACTTGCAATTGTCATCTTCGATGGATATTGTATTCAACACATAATTGCTCGCGATATCTTATTAAAACTTTGTTAGAACTGTTTTTTAAAACAAAAGATGTAAAGCTCGACTGTTCCCAAACTACTGGTAATTATTCATTTAATTTATAAGATAATTAAATAAGTTTTGCATTATACTATTCAGCAGACTCTACTTTATTCGATAAAATAAAAGTTGTATAATTTTCTTTCAAATTGTTTCAAAGAAAAAGAAAATGTTCGAACCTACGAAAAAGGCAGTTCTTATTAGGAACATTACTGTAACCTTTTAGTTGAAAGTACAAAATTCTCTTCAACAAACATCGACTTGTGTGATGGCAATCAGTTTTAAGAAAACTATACTCCAAATGATTTTTTATTGCTCATTGCTGTTCACTTCAGAAAATAATTTAGCTGGGAAACAGCCCATGGGCGGCGCAAGCTCATCTTTTTAGTGGAAGCCATAAGTTTTAGAATGAGACTATATCCCGTTCGAGCCATAGTTCAAATGTCGACAGTAAAAGATTTTGGTCGAAATTAATTTTTCAAGAATTCAATATTGGAAGCCTGTGTATCAATTTATTTGACAGCATATTAAAGCCTCCCTACTCAGAAAAAGTCAATTTTTGTCAAAAGAAATGAAAATTGGAATAAACGTACGGGGAGATAGCTCGCGTTCTATTCTTTTGGAAACAGCATTATTTCTAAATCGATATCCTGTTTTGGGGCAAAATTTTTGATGACTTTTATCATCCACTTGTCAAAAAAAAGATTTTTTTTCAAAAAAAAAGAAAAATGTTTTCCGTTTTTGCTCAGATTATAATTTTTCGAACGCACAGCACAGGTTTCTCTATTTAGGCCTATTGAATATACTTAATTTTCTTGTTTGAAAGAGCACATCAAGATGCAGGGCACCATATAGTCCTTTATTAATTAATCTTTATTTTTTTATTATACATGCAAAAACTTATGTAAATTGGCGCCCATTTCTAGAGAGTTTTCTGAATTATTGAACTTGTGATCCCTTTTCTCGGTCTAAAAGGCAAGAATTTTTAAAAAACGATTCTATGGCGCTCTACATCCTGACATGCTTCTTCAAACGAAAAAGTTTTTAATATGTTGAACGAGCCCAGACAGAGAAAAATGAGTGGCGAAACGATTTATTTTTTTTCTTTGTTTAGCTCATATCTCTGTCAAACATCATGGCATAGGGTTGAAAATATTACCATAGCGTCTTCACTTTAGTCCTAATGTGTCCTGGATATTTCAAAGAATTTGCATGTACTTGACCCTGAAATCGATTTTTGAGGATGAGGTCTTAGAGTTTGAGGTTAGTGTAACATTTTTATTGAGAACCGATGTATTCAGAACGAGTTAGCAAAACTCAAGTTTTTTCTATTGTTACCTTTCGCTCACTAATCATTGAGTTTTCGAGTTGATACTCATGTGAAAGATTGTCTGTCATCTTAACAGCTATTGCTTCTTGATTAAATTATAAACCCAAGAATCAATTGGAAATATTACGCTCTACTCATTGAAAGTGTTTATTTAACTGTCTATGTTAGCAGCTAGTTGACCTCTTTGTGATTATGTTTTTATACGGTGATTATGGATGAAAGCAGAAAGAAGTACAACTTTAAGTTACTTTATAATCAAAAGTTTACAAAAAAATGGAGAAATCACATACGGATGAAACATGAACAATCATGGAAAGCAATTGATTACTCGTTGCTTACTGATGCGCGTCCATGAGATATATGCATGTTGAGTTATGTATTTTCACTCTAGTTTACCAAGGAACATGAACAACTTGGGTAAACAATAAAGATTTATTGCTTTCCCAAAATTTTTTTATGGAAGCAATTGTTTCCTCGCGTAGTGCTGGTGCGCCACCCATGAGGCTATCGTTTACCGCATTATTTAGACGTTTTACAATGTGTCGTAAACGGTCATCATAATTTTAACTGTTTTCATACCGTTTATGAGCCGTTACATTCGACTTGGGAAAAAATGCATTAAAGACCAAATGCTATCAACAGCTGTAAATCTGCACTATTTTTTTCATAATAAATGCAACTCATTAAGTCTTTGATTCGATCATCCTATTCTTAGAAAATTACCTACAGTTTTGATATAGCATGGGCTGTTGAACAACGTTGCAAAGAAAATGACACTATATTATGCATTTTGACTCGCGAAACTGTTTTATAGACGTTTTGCAATGATTTGTATTCAACTGTACAAACTAAGATAAACCCAACAGTATCTTATTAGTTTTTGATTCCAAAAAAGACATTTCTTGACAAATGTGAATGTCTTTTTTTAGTATGGTCCATGGCTCGTAATATGAGTGCAGCAAGAGAAATGCGCATAGGATCCGTATTGTTAAATGAAAAAGTATTAACTTGCGGTGGAACCAGTGAATCCGCTCTCAATAGTGCTGAAGTATATAATCCTGTAACAAGAAATTGGACAGCTACTCTTAATATGAATGTTACACGAGCTGAGCATTCATCGTTATAAGCGAATGGAAAAGTGTTGGTAACTGGTAAATATACTAATACTGGTTATACAACAAGTACAGAGTTGTATTGTTGTTGATGAAGTCGAAATCTCCTAATAATTATGATCGTTTCATGGAAATGATGTTGTGTTCATGAACTCATCAAAAATAACATTTGTCCCTTTCGAGACCATTAAGTTTTTTGTCTCAAAAATTTTTACCATTCCCAGTTACAGATATATGCCTGGAGGCAATTCATTATGATTGTCAAATGCAGCATAGCAAAACAATTTCTCGAGCAATATTTTGTTTTGAATTAGTTTTTCCACTTGATTGTATCTTTTGAACTCATCTTCAATTTGATAGAGTCATATTATAATATTCACATGTAGTTGTAGTTTGTTCTGAATAATTTACTGCTGGTTGTTTACATATGTATCTTTTGTTTTCGTCCTCTCATACTATCTTTCTCAATTAAATATTTGGTGTTCAATTCGAATCCACAATGTTACGCTAATGCTCTTTCTTGCATACTCAATTGAGTCTAAATAAAATGTTCATTATAGAGATGATTAACATATTTGTACAGTGATATAGTCAAAAGAGAGAGAGAGAGAAATATAGACCATCGCTATCTATTCATAGTATTCAACGTCTAAACTCTACCTTTACTGTTTTTTATTATCGTGTTGTTCGAATCTAGCATTCAATTAAATCGAAGCATAATTCAAAGACATCTTATTTGATTCCACCTTTACCAAGTCTATCGATGTAAGGTGAGCTATACCAACAATTAAATGATGGTAGTTTTCTATTTGAGGAATAGTCTATCATGTGTTATGACAATAACTGTGTTCCATCCGCGAATATGATATCAGTATTCCGCCAGTTGTATAAAGGAACAGCACGCAGCGGACTACAAATCATTGGAGTACCTACACTTTTATAGATCGAATTTTATATAAGTCATGTGAAGAAATATTTCAATAAAAAAAGAGAATTTTGCAAATTCGATCACCTCACTCAATCACACGCTAATATAAGTTGCTTCCGATCAGAAACGCAATGCAAATGAAGTGGACCAGAAATCGGTTGAAGATTTGTTTTCAAATTCTTTTCTTTCAATAATTGTGTCATCATGTTTATGTTCGATACTGCTAAATCAGATTAAATCTACTTTTATTTAATTTAATATTAAAAACTAATTTGTTAAAATTAGTAATGATTCATATATTGAGGAAATGCTTCTTCAGACATACAATTGAAAGTGACTTGACATGCCATTGTATATAATTAAAAATAAAAATCAATCAGACTAATGTCTTTTTCTTTATCACTCTTTAATAATAATACATAAAAGAATTATACTCTTATATCTACCTTTCCTATTGTCTTCTTGCTTTTTCGTATCAGTATCAAAGAAATGACTAAGAACAAAAATAAGAAACTAATTAGTTTGATTTGTTTATTCTTATTTTTACTTGTATGTAATTGTACGTTGGATCATTTTAAAGTTAATTTCTGAAAAACTGTCTCATTGTGATATGAACTATTATTAGATGATTTTTTTTCAAATTAGTTAATTATATTAAATTAAATTAGAGACGATGATTTATTCATGTCAAATATAAATTTAACCTTCTTACCAAGACAACATTGAAATTTACTTTTAGCCAGATGATTTGACTGAAATCGATCTACTCTAACAAATGCTTTTAATTCATGGCAAGAACATGAAAAACAGTTGGACTTTCTGTCGATCGAAAAAAGTTTAATTTGCTCTATTTCGTAGTTCTAATACAAGTCAAAATCGAACAAAACATATTTTTTGAATATCAACTTCGTCTTGTTCATCAAATACTAAACTGTATTTTCATACACCTTCAATGCATTTTTATGTCTCTCCTATTTATTCTTCGAGTGTTAGCAATCACTGATTGGATACATATTTTCAGTAAAACATTTTTTTAGATAAAATAAACTAGATTAAATAGATTTTTATAATTCAGAATAATTATTATGTAGTAGACTATATTGCAGATGATTACGTATAATCTTTCAAATAAAGTCTGTGATGAATAAATTGGAATGGATTTAGTGACGTACATATATGTATAGAGATAGAAGATCTACACCTGAACAGTTTATAAAATCCAATGATGTATGTTCGATTGAATAAATGTTATAATGAAGATTCATTTCAAATTAGGAATAAATAGTTCATAACTTGCAAATGGTGATCCAGGTTTCTTTTTTTCGTTATTTTCCAACCAAAATCGAATTTTTAAGTTATTTTCTTCTTGCTCTAATTCACTAGTCGAATGAGATGATGATGATGATGATAATTCTTTTTGATTTCTATGTACTACTGTCGATGTATTTTTTCGATCTATCCAATCAATAATCCAACCCAAACCAGTCAATAATAGAAGAAAATATATGAATGGCCAAAAATATCGATTGAGAAAGCCAGTTGGAATAACACAATTAGTATGAGTCAAATCCATTGTTGTACATTGTTCAAAATAGCACCAATTTCGATTTGGAAGCAATTTTTTAAGAAATAATCTTGCTCCATTTTCTGGTGCTTGCGTAAAAAAGTCAAGGAATGCTTCTTCAGTATCAGCAATTGGATGCCATGTAGAAGTAAAAAAATGAGCAACACGAATAACTATTTGTGGTGGTGGTCTATTAACAATGGCAGATGAAATAATTTGATACATTAATTTAGAATCATTAATGTCTGATAGATCTTTTTTTTCTCGAGTTTGAAATCGACTAACACCACAGCAATGAACATCACCACTAAAAAATGTTATTCGTATTTTTTTCTTTTGAGCAATTTGTTGAAAACGAGATAGAACACGATTTCGTTCACCCATATGAGATTCATGTGTCCATTCATCGACAAGATCATCATAAATTTCAGGCAAACCGAAAACTGAATTTGTTTGTTTACTAAGTGGAATATTTCGCCATGCCATAGATAATTTTTTCCATGCTTCAAGAATAGATTCAGCCATTTTAAAACGTGCAAATGAAAATGGAACAGCAAATATAACAATCAAATGTTTGACATTGTGTAGATCATTATCCAATTTTTCGAAAATTATATCCCACGTTTTTTCATGTTGCACTGTTTTGTCATCGCGTTCAGTACGACCATCAGCACCTAAAAGTGCTAAATTGGGACCACATTGAGCAAGAAAATTATGACCTTGATAGCCGAATAATCGATGTTTTCGAGCTTTTTCTGGTGTAGTATGATGTTGAAAAAGAAGTCGCATCTTTTGTGCTAGTTCCAATAATCCCGTCATAATTGGACTATTGAGAAGTAATGAAGGATAGGAACCAGCACCATCATAAATGTCATGATCATCCCACATCATTAGACTTGGAATTGATCCTAATGCTTTGATCATTTCTGGTCGACGTGCCCAATGTTCAGCATAATTATTAAAATAATATTGTTCAACTTCATATTTTCCTTCAACTGAAAATTCATGTGTCCATTTTTTATCCCATCCTAAATGTGACCAATCTTGAAGAAATGGTACATCGTCAATAACAAAATCATTGTAGTTTTGATCGCCACCCCAAATTAATAGATGAAATGGATTTTCATCATGACAAGAAAGAAGATGATTCCAAACAGTATTATAAGTAAGACCTAATGCAACTTCTTTTGATACAGTAGCATCAAAACCATTGCAGGAAAAAAATGCACCACGCCATTTTTGATCATATTGAGCAATATGAAATAGTCCATTTGTTGTTTTATCACCCCAATTAATTATCCAACCAATTTTTTCATCACCAGTGCCTTGAGGTAATTCAATATTAAGATTTATTCGATAAGCTCGCATATCAAATATGTTCTCATATAGAGTTTCCCAATCATAATCAATTTTAACTGTTGTAGTAAATTCGATTGTTGGTTGATCGTATGAAACATGTCGAAATATTAAAACACTACCAATCCATAACATGTTTTCTAAATCTGTTGTGATAAACTGAAAGTATGGTCCCATTGCTTGTTCGGGTGGTCTCGGAGGACGCATTACTACATCTTCCGTGACTGTTTGAAGTAGATCATTATTTTCACTACCTGCATTATCGGTGTCATATTCATTTAAGCTTTCTTTTCCAATTCTTTCTGCCATTTTGAACAATATTACTATCGTATGATTTGGTCTTGTATCTTCAACAAAATAAAAAAAAAGAAAATATAGTATTATTTCAAATGTTTTAAGATCATTTTCTGTATAGGGTCACCAATAAGAACAATATGCACACTCTTACATATTCACTATGGTGATCAGACAAACTCTGCTAGCTTGCTGTGAATAAATTAATAGCTAGTTAGTGTGAATGAAAACTCAGTATGTAGAAATAATATTCTAGGAAACTTTAGTATCTCGTAATCTCTATACCTCTATATTGGGCTTACTTCAGCACTCTGAGTACTTCGAACTATAGTTCAACTTAATAGTCAGAAAATTCTGTACTCAATAATCACAGATGAATATTTCACATACTAATTAAAAAAGAAATGCATTACAAAATATTTATATAACTGACTTTGATTGATTTTCTTATAGATTTATAATTATGCAAGTAAATTATATACTGACGCTTCAGATGGCAAAAAATCAACTTAAACGTCGCAATTACGACTATATACGAGTTGCAAATTAACTTTGTGAAAAGAAAAATATAATGATCATATAATGTTGTACTATGTGCTGCAAAATACATATGCCAGTAAGAGTGATATTGTTGTTTTTAAAAATTCTTATTTCTAACCAATCTAGCAGTATGCTCTTCAGTTTACAGTTATATTTTAATATAAATAGCCACACACGACTATAATGAACTGAAACAGCATTTTAAAATAAACTCGTACTAGTTTACCATAATACATTTGTATACCTCACTCACATCTAGAGTGTTACATTTACACCCTTTTATGCATTACTATTACAACTATACTGTTATGCCTATGGCTTAGATCTATTCAATATCACTACATTCTTACATATGCACCCTTACGACAAGACTTATATATCTAGAATATAAAGGCTCTACCGTTATATCACTATCCGTAGGCATACGCAGCTTCACTTATACCCTTATATATAAACTACTAAATGTATACCTAATAGCTCAACATTCATATTATATTTTTGATTGAAACTTTAAATCTATACTCCTATGCCTAAAAACTTTAACAAATTTGATTGGTGTAAAATTGAACGACATATATTAGATAAGAATATAGTATAATGCGGTTTAAATTAATTCGAAGCCGTTCACATATCATGTCAGATATGATAAAAATAACAGTATCTGAACATTTTCCTCTTATACGCATTAGTAAGAATTTGTTCTCTTGATATATTGAAAGATATAAAACGATAAAATTGATCCTAAATTTCGACATGGATGGATATATAAGAATTAAAAATGTCAGTATCTACACAGTATATAACATATAGTTAATAATTCAGATAAGACAGATGTTAATAGTTTCTGTATTTATCAGAACTCAACAGAGGTAATAAAATCTATCAAAAATTAAAAAATGATACCTTCGTAGATATTGAAATGATCTATAGATTGTTTTTGTTATAGCTACAAATATCTTGTTTAGCGTTAACTTCTGTATAAGTACATCTACTGAAAGTAGAAGATATTAGAGAAGTAAAGATAAAAAGATGGCTTCTAATGTCTTCGTTGTTTCGTCAGCGGATTCACAAATATTTTAAAGGTAAATTTTCATCTTAATTTTTGAAAAGGCCCTCTTTTTCAAAGTAATACTAACAAACACACTGTATATATGCCGAGTTTAAATGTTTTAACTTGCCACCTCCCTTAAATATGTTGTTTATTAGCTTACACAAGCAGACAATGATAGAAAACCAAAAAAACGAAAACATTCCCTTATTTCATGATCGTCTGCTCAAATCTTAAACATTCCATTTAAGATTATAAGATTAGAGACATCATTTTTTGAACGTTTGTTTTTGTTCTTTTCGTACACCCTGTACAAAACAACGTGTTCTTCATTCAAAAAAAAATCGAAAGTGTATGATTGCGTATTTTAGTACGAGAGAAAATCTCACCTTTTTTTTTTTTCTTTCTGTCGCTGCTTACATGTGAACTATATACTTTTTTCTGTTTGTATCTTACAAATCAAAGAACTATTCGAGCTTCAAATAATTTTCTTCGTTATATAATCAATATTAGAGTATTACAACATTACAAACAATGCATGTTGTGAACATGTATGATCGAATTCAAAGTTTTGATAATGAAAAAAACAGTAAAGTAGCTTTCTTAATGTCAAAACATAATTTTCAACGATGGTTGATATCAAATTCGAGAAAACTGAATTATCTAGTTCACCTCAAAACACATATCAATGACCATCCTTTGTACTCAATCAAGGAGAATATTGTTAGACTTCTACAAGAAACCAGAGAAGAAAATAAAACAATACAATGAAATAGATATTGCTATTATAGTGATATTGAATTTTTTTACATTTATCACTACTCAATAAAAGTTAACAGCAATCGATTTTCAATGAAAAAAAAAAGTTCAAAATTAATGTGTGCTGAAGAATTTACACATAGAAAATTTTCACGGGATTTTTTTATAGTTTTGTAGTCATCGATATTACATGAGTTGACTATGAGCTTCTGATAGATTATTAATTTGATAAAAGTTACAGATTAACACAGAGCAGCATAAGCAGAATGCTATATTAGAATATCGGTTAAGGACATAGTCTATTATCAAGCAAACGTTTTTACCAATAAGAGCCGCTGTTGTCTTTCTTTCTTATTTATCGAATAAATGATATTTTTTTATCTTTATATTATGTGCGACAATGTGTACATCAGTAGAAGAAAAGAGAAGCAATAAAACAACACACAGCTAGTGATGATGAAATGATTATTCACTCGATCATGTTAAGAGTGAGCCAATTATTTTATTGCCTAATGCCATGGTCCATTGATTTTTATGACAAGACATGCTTATGTATCAGACACATGTTTACACATTTTTTCAAGGATACATTGCATTAATCAGTTTCAAAATTTCATAGTAGACTTTCGTTTGTTAAGATATGAATGCTATGAATATTTTCTTAATTTGTATGTCATTGTACAATAAAAAAAACAAGAAATAGTGTTCTATGATTCAATCTTTCTTTGTGTGAGAAATAATGAACGAAAGTCATTTGAAGATTCAAAATGAATTCACTTGTCTGACAATCTGATAACATCTTCGTAGATTTTTGGATTGTTGATGTGTGAACTCAATTGATTCGTATAAAATTTAACACGACAAAGAGAGATAGCAAACTAATGAATAACAATATCAGACAACAAATGAAGCAGGAATATACGATGTTTGTATTTGTCTACACTTAATACATATACTACCCTTCATCTGCTACTGAATTTTATTACGCTTGAATTGTTTCACATAGAAATTTTCATTTTGAAAGCAAAAAGTGTAACTATAAAATACGCTGTTCTTTGTGCGTGGTATAGCTTTTCACGTTGCATCTTGTGGTGTATTTTGTTTTTTTGACACGTCATATTAGGTGAGAAAAAATTCAATTGAAAAAGACGCTTTTTCTATCTAAAGAAGACTTAGACTCCACAACAACCGTGAAGGCTTAAATCAATTTTGATGCTTTCTAAATTGAACCTACGCTCATATTACAGTGCTATTGATGTATCCAGTCAACTTGCTCTCATTTGCGGGACATATGCTTTGAAAATCATTCTTCATTGCTCCAACTAATGATTTGTAGATACATCAGAGATCTTTCAATAAAATAAAAGTTTCGTTTGGTATTTAAACAAATGCAGAAATTAATTTGTACAGTAGTCCATGTTCAAATATTGTCATCACATAAAAATAAACATAATTTAATGTTAACATTTTTATAAGCACGACAATTACCATTGATCAATTTTTTAAATACTTTTCTTTTTTTATAAATATCTAAAACTAAAAACAATAATTATTGTGAAAGAAACGAAAATTCACAAAAATATGATAAATCCACTTGAAAAACAACTAAATATACTTCATCAATAACCTTGTTTATTCATTATCTTCGATGTCTATATTCAACAAATACTGATCATTCTGCTCGTTGACATAATTTATCGTTTGTTGTGGCAAATATTCTTTTTTATTAATCCAATTCCATTTTGTAGATTTTCCTTCTTCTAATAATTGATCTTCTTCATTCATTTGTTCACCTTTAGTCATCACATAAACAAAATATTCCATAGATTCATTTCCATCTGAAACTGAATGTACTTGAATTGACCATTGATATTTTTTTTTAGCTAAAAATGGTCGACGAAAATGAGGTTGTTGAAATGAGATTGAAATAAATCGACCAGAATCAGATCGTAAACATTGACTAATTTGTATTAATATTAAATCAATTTTTTCTTTCAATTCTTCTGATGGATTCCATAGACGATGTTCATATCCAATAAAAAATACATCTAATGTACCTTTTTCAATAATTGTATCAAAATAATCTGAATGTAAAGGTATTGTTCGAATATCTAAAGCAAGCCAATCAATTAAATATTCTGTTTTTTTCATTGATCGTCGTTTATCAAGAATACCAAATGAATAATCAACATTAATAATTAAATGACAATAATGACGATTATACATTTCTTCAGCAAGTGATGATGAACCACAACCAAGATGAAGTAAAATAATTGAAGGTGAAGATTTTAAATAAAAATCTAATACAGGATAGAGACGTGAACAATCACCAAACCATTCAAATGAATCTTCTGTTAAAAATCGTTTATTCCAATATGTTTGTTTTGATAAATCATCCATCTGAAAGAAAGAAAACATTAACAATTTAAAAAGTTACTGATGGAACAAAAAGGCTATAAACTCTTCCTGAATGGAAAGTCGATAATATTTTCCAATTAAAAAATAAATAAAACAAAACTATACGTAAAATTATGTAGACAAAAATTAATCACAGGTACAAGTATTATGCTACAACATGATTCTGATAATTTATTATTTTGATAGAAAACTTATGTCAATAAAAATCCATAAAAAACAAAACGTTGATAAACTGTAATTGTAAAGCATATAATAGTTGTAATCATATATGTAATATGAATTCAATCGTGTTCATAGGCATTATGAAGTGTTCTCCGATTGTTTTTCAATATAGCTATTTCCATTAGAATAAAATTTGTTTTCTAAATTAAATAAATAAAAAAAGTTCTAAAAGATACGACAAAATATTTTTTTCGTTTGATTCATTCATTAATCATTGGTCATCATATTCATGACCAATAGGATAGTGAAAATACATGATGTCAGCGCTTTCTATGGTGTCTACCTAAATGTCTTCGTGAAAATGAAAGAAAAGAAAAATATTTAATACAACATGATGATAATAACATCTCAAAATAAGAGTTTAATCTTTTCGTCTATCTTGGTGACTTTACTAATAGGTAGCATACTATTTCTTGTTTAAGATTTTCCTCCTCAAAAACCAACTTTGGATTTAGTACATTTATATCGCATGAAAATTTCAGGATGTGTCAGTTGTACTAATGTCCATTTCAGAGTTAAATGGCCGTGGGCATTTTTTGAATAACTTTTGATACGAACGAGATATAGATCTGCGACTTTCACCGTTGGAAAGAGCAGATGAAGACACATCGAATTACATATAGAAAGATTTTTCTAACTACTTTTTTAAACGTTTAGTGAAACGTTATTCGATTATTTTGTTGAAAAAAATGAAGTGGTAAATTGTGTTCCGATGGTTTGGGGTGTGGGCGTTGGTATTGTCCTCTCTTCACCCACACCCCAAGATGAAAATGTTCAGTTGGAATTTCTAATAATTCATCTTTCTCTTGGTGCTTTATCTTCAACATCATATTGTCATATTACACATGATCGAATATATTTCTTATCGTTAATAACAAAAGGAAATGTTCATTTTCTGTGTTTTCTAGCAAACCAATTAGTTTAACTACTTTCTTTTTATTTTTCAATACTATTCTTTTTCAAGAAAACTAATTAGAAATTGTCAAATATTATGCACAACAAAATTCAATCACATATAATCTTATGTCTCTTTTTATCTCCCTATTGACAATGCTGAAATGCATCAGTATTCAATTTGTCTCTATAAAAATCTATCCAAAAAAACATTTACAATTCTTCTCTTTTCAAATGAATATTAGATCGATATTTGCTTATTAAAAAAAGGAATTTGATAAATCTGAACATAATACACTAATGATTGTAGAGAGAAAAGAAAATAAGATCATATGAATATTGAGATGTATTATAAAAATATCTTTCACTTTATATGTCATTAAACTCATGAACGATTTTATTTAATTTATATGAACTCTTTTTCTTTTTATGTTTGATTTCATCTCAAACAAGTAGTTGTCAGCAGTTAATGACTGTCTATTCATTGTAAGTATTTTCTAGCCACTATGTCTCTATCTTTATAGATATAGTCTTTCTCCAGGCATGTATCTAGAGAATGCATAATACTGAAATAAAAATCAAGTTTTTATATCTATTTTATTGATTCTTCAGATGGAGATTCAAGTCCACAGATCATAATAGTGACTTTTTTCCCGATTCCGAAACAGCAGACAAGTTTGAAATATTATTTTACTAGCGAGAACCCGTGCATACTACACGGCTGTTTTCTTCTTTAATGTATGATCTCAGACATTTAACTTTTCATCCGGTAAAATACATACAGACACTCGATATTATGTATATAGATAAGTTGCCCTACGACCTCATACTCTCATATCGCACATATTTTTATAGTCCATGCAGCCTTCGGCCTTATATTCCTTGTAGCCATATCTCCCTATTGCTTTACTCCCTTCAGGGCCTATGCGTATCACAACATAATAGCCCTTGAGGACCTACGGATACCCTCATAGCATAACCCTTGAGGACCTATGGATACCCCCGTAGGATAACCCTTGAGGGCCTATGGGTACTCTCATAGAAGCCCTTGGGAACCTTAAGTACTCCATAAGTAGTCCCTGGAGATCTTCCCCTTATAGCCTTATGTGACCTTTGACCTTTGACCGGCACAGACAGACACTGAACAATAGTAATATAGATTTGACAATGAGAATGAACACTATGGCGAGAAAATAAGAATCACATGTTTCAAACAATTGTGACAAAGTCAATATCTTTCCATTAACTATTGATTTATTTTTAGAATAAATAAAAGTAGTTCTGTTTTGAAAAATGATCATACATTGCAATGACATAGTCTAAGATATTTTTCTCTTGCATGTTCGCCACTGTATTTGACGAACAATTGCTCATCGAATATAACGAAGAAAGCAAGAGAAAAGAGAAAACTATTTTAGTTACACCGCTAATACATTGCCCTATGAATCAGAATGATCAATTCTTCGCTCTCATCTCGCTATATTATCCATGATAGCGAACACATTGAACAAAAGATTCTTGTTCATTGCTCGAGGTCAATATAAACAACAATGAAAATATTTTTCGGTGATGCGCATTGTTGAACACAGCTATAAAAGATACAATCATTTTTGTTTTCTTCCTCATTCGATGGCATTAATTACACAATTCGACGATTTACCGGATCTATTCTTTATTGATCTGTTTAATTATTTATCTTCAATCGATATTCTTTGGGCATTTATCAATTTAAATAATCGTATTCAAACAATAATCAATGAACGAGGTTTCTTTCGTCACATCAATTTATCATCATCACGTCTGTCAAAATTTGATACACTTCTTTCTATACTTCCATTGAATCAAATTGAAACACTCATCATTGATATAGAAGCATCGCCTTTTCAACTTTCTCGCTGGCCTTATTTGCCTCATTTGACTACATTACGATTATATGGTTTGCGTGACTTTATAGATGCTACCAATCTTATCCTTCGCCACTCAACTTCACTCATACATCTCACATTGGAAACAAGCGATTTATTTATGTCAGTATGTATTACCCAAGAATATTTTCAAACTAATATTCAAGTGAAAAAAAATCATTGAAAATATCTTATTTTCATACTATCATATATCTGACATCAAGTTCTTTTTACATTAATTAGAATAAAGAACTGAATAATTACAGTCAAATGTCATAGATATGGAATAGAATATAGTGTTCAATCGTATCTTCATCTCTAGTTTTTTATATTTTAAGTTATAGTATATATTAGCAATGTTCAATTACATTATGAATCGTCAATGAGTTACTTCTATAGATGAAAACGTGAATTGACAAAAAAATGCCATTTGATGAATTCTCTCCAATATTCTCATGCAAAAATTTTTTTTTCTTGACTAATAAATTCGATTAATTGTTTTTATTTTTTTAGATAGGCTTTACGGGTTGTATTTTGCATCCTAGAGGACGTCTTTCAACACTTGTGGAAAATGTTTTGCCACATTTGAGTGCACTTCGTTCGCTCGATTTGGGTCAAGATATTGGACTCGGCCTCACGAACTGGTACATTACTACAATACAAAGTCCTATCAATTATCTTCGTGTATCGATGCAAGACATACCGCATTTGTGTCATGTTATATCAAGAGAGACACTTTCAACTACATTAGAACAATTCCATGTAACAATGCGTAGTCTACATGTGATAAGAGAAAATAGTTTACCTAAAGGATTGGTACTGTCTAAAATGATCAATTTACATACATTTACTTTGGTTCAATCGATATTTTCCTATAATAGAATTGAATGGTCAACTATTGAATCACTCACAGCTCCAAATGTAATGCCCGTACTTCGACGAATGAATTTGGCTATTTTCATTTCTGTCGATGATTTAAATTGTATCAATAGATCGTCACTTTTCATTGATGATCGTCGAATCGATGTTCAATTTGTTTTCATTATAGATGATACTTCTCTAGGTATTCAACTAAGTCATCATGTACCACATGGTAGTCATTTTCATCCACGACAAATAGTTGGTGTAACCTGTGTTCTAAGTTTCTTATCCCGAAAGTACAAAGAATTGACAAATATCAATTGCTATGTGAGTAATTGTATTATTACACGTAATTTTTATTTGACAACATCCTGATGAGAAATTAAGAAATGATCAAAATTTAAATTTTCGATTTTTTTTCCAAGCTATTTATGTAATAATCTTTTGTTTATTCTAGTTCAATAATTATCCATGGGCTTACGATGTTTGGTATACTTTACCATGGGCATTTGAACAATTCTTCGAGGTGATTGAACCAATTCAATATATAACTAAAGTAGAAGTATTTGCTTTACCTTCATCGTACTCATCCATTATTAGTTCATCTCGACTTCGTACACTTAGTATATCACAAAATGACTCATTACCATCGATTATTTCAATGCCTCATGTTGTGCAATTAGATCATATTAACACAGTTCATTTATCATTTCATGATTGGCCAACTGGTTTAAATCTTCTTGCTCTTCGTCATGTTACATTAACAAATAATCTCATTGCATTGAAAAACTTCTCTTCATTTCCACCTAATATTCGTTCTATTCAAATTCTACTTCATGCTAATAAGCCAAATTTTGACTCAAGCAATTGGTCTATATTGCGTTCACTTTCAGTCTTACCGATGCTCACCTCATTACATATCATTATGAAGGACATGAATACAGGTCTTGATGATATTAGTTGTCAGATTATTGCAGAAACAGTACCAATATCCGTTCATTTTGGTATTTGTTTTCGAAGAAGTAGTGGAATGCCGAAACCTGATTCTATTGACCATTGTATCGAGTTTGATCCTGCTCTCGTCAATCTTACTAATGATCCTACTGTTCCTATTATTGACGATGAAGATTATGACAATGATGAAGAGGATGAAGATTATGAAGATTTGACATTCTCGGAATCGATATTTGATATTTACCGGGCATCTATTAAAGAACTACATACTTGTATTTTACGCTTATCATCTCATATGAAACCTCTAATTGTTGTTGAAGAAGAAGGTTGTGGACTAACTGTTTGGTTATGACTTTCGAAATAAAAAATAAATATTCAATAAATTGTCAAATCTATAGAATATTCCCAAACTTGAGAATAAAACGATTGATAACGTGTTCAGAATTAGATCGAGATGTACAACCTGGTCTTCAAGAAGAAAAAACAATTGGTATTGATCGTGAACCAACATCAATTGCTGATAAAAATCCATATTCAACTAAAAATGATAGTGAAACAATTGAAATAAGTGATATGAGTGAAAATGAAGGTGTATCATCTGAAATGAATAATATAAATGACGGTTGAGATGAGTGTTTCTTAATTGGTGAAATTAAATTTTTGAAACATCCTTACTTAAAAACAAAAATTGTCCATTGATTTTTAGCTTCTCTAGTTGAATATCTAATGGATTATCCATCACTGTTGTTGAATTATTGTTGTATTGCTAATGTATTAAATTTTGGTCTATTTTGGACATCACATAGTAAAAATTTTAACATCGTTACAATGACTATCAACTTAAAATACGCTTCACCTGTACAATACATATGGAAAAAAAAATGAGCAAGAGATTAAAGAATTTTTAGATGTAGCTACCAGAGAGTGAAAACGAACCGATCCGAACTCGAACCGTTCTTTCAAAAGTGAAGTCGAATCGAACCGAACCCGAACCAGTAAAAGTCGGTTCGATTCGCTCTGTGATAGCTACACATGATGAACAACAAAAATTTAATGAAATATTGATATTGTTATCAAATAATCTGTTGTATTGTTTGTAAGTACAAGTTCACTGTGTCAATATATTTTTTTATCTTTTATTTGTCTACTAGTCCACATATGATATCAAATATTAAAATTGGTATCAATGGATTTGGTCGGCTTGTATTTCGATGTGCACTTGAACAAAGTATTCAAGTAATTGCTGTTAATGGTTAGTATTAGATTTTTTTATTTATATGTCTTACAATTATATCTTTCTAGATCCAAGTCCATCGATTTTTATTCCTCCTGCTGAACATATGGTTAATATGTTGAAACATGATTCAACACATGAACATTTCAAAGGTGAAGTTTCACATAAAGATAACAAATTTATTGTTACAGGTCAAGAAATCAGCACCCTCGTTGAGTAAATATTTTAAATCAATTAATTTTAATATCTAATTATATTCTATTTTTAGACAACAACCATCAAACATTCTATGGGATGAACTCGGTATGTTTTGTCTTTTGACCTTATAACAAATCAATAATTGATTGATGATGCTTGTTTTTCTTAAGGTGTTGAATAGGTTGTTGAAACAATCGGCGTATATACAACAATTGATAAATGTCCATCATATTTACAAGCTGGTGCTAAAAAAGTTATAATTGCAGAACCATGAACTGATGCTCCAATGTTCGTTATGGGTGTTAATGAAGATAAATATACCGGAAAAGAAACAGTTCTTACAATTGCATCATGTACAACAAATTGTTGAGCACTATTTGCTAAAGTTGTTCATGAAAAATTTGGTATTATTGAAGCTTTAATGACAACCGTACATTCGTATACAAAAAGCTGTTGATCAACCATTAAATCAAGTATTGAATAAAACAAGAAAAAAAGACTTTTATTTCTATAGGATTTGCAACGACGTGAAGATTCGCCAAAATCTTATTCCATTATCAATTGGTGCTGCTATTGCTGGTAAAGCTGTATATTTATTTATTTTATTTTTAATAACTAAGAAAATTGATTTGTGTTTTATTAGATCGAAAAAGTAATTTCTGACTTGAATGGAAAATAAACTGGTACGGGTTTTTGTATTTCATTTGTTGATCTTACTGCTCGATTAAGCAAAGGTGTAAGTCATATTTTGTTTTAGATTCAATTTATTAATTTATTTAATTAGGCTAAATATGAAGAAATTTATGTTGCAATTAAAGAAGCTACTAATGGTCCATTCAAAAATATGTTGACTTATACTGAAGATGAAGTTGTTTCGACATGTTTTATTGATGATATACATTCATCAGTTTTTTATGCTAAAGCTGGTATTTCACTGGATGATCGTATTGTGATTAAATAATGAATGATGAATTGATACTAATGGAGAAACGGGTGCTTTAGTATAAGAAAACTTTTGAACGAATAATATTGGAATTTTTAAAGATTTTTTTCGCTGATTAATTAAAAGTTTCGATTGTTTCTCTATATCAATTTCAAGTTTGTACTTGCTTAAAGCTGAAATTCTGATAACAACTAGAAATTAATCAATTGCAGGTATTCAGACTCATATCTCTTGATTGTTAAAGCCATGAAAATTGGACGATACGAGCAAAATAGACTAGAAAGCTAATCTACACTGAATGTTCTGTTGAAGAATGTCTTTTTTCATTTGCTGTTCTTTTGAGAGACAGCTATCTTCAATAAAATAATAGAAGTTTTCGATAAATTATTTGTCAAGATTATTCAATGATTTTTATATCGATTGGTTTCGCAGGTATTGATAAAGACATCAATAAAATAGAATCGAAAAACTTTTTAACTACACTTAGAAAATCACCAACGAAATGAATCTCCTCTTTTTTCTAGAAATTTACAGTACGAAATAGTCTCATTCGCAAACATTTCTTTTTATACAACATATATCGATTGGTTTTTTTTTGTCAAGTTACTCATAAAACATATGCCACGCTTCTATTCTCATTATAATATAACAAAAGAAATCTTTCTTCTTTATTACTCTTTGAAATAGTTATTTCATTTGTTGATGACATAGAGGAATTGTTTCAAGATGAAAAATTCTTAAATTTGTGATGAACAGTTTCACTATAATTATTTTATTGATGCCAATATTCCGTGCGAAATGAATATATCGTATGTTAATTCTATCAACAAAATCTTCTACATTATAATAAATTCTGTCAATCATTTTATCAGTTATATAATCAAGTATAGATGATGAAGTCTTACAAAATATATGTAGTAAAAATAATGAATGACATACTATTCGTGATATGAAAGTAATTTACCTACACTTTTTTATGACTATGTTGAAAAAAAAATGTCGTTCAGTTTAGATCATATTCATGAAGCGTGAATAGTTATATAATAAAAAGAAAAAGAATTTTAAACTAGGAAATCTTTTATTTTTTACCTTTATACTATGAGTGGACATTTTACTTTGGACGTTGTTCTTTCGTTCTGTACACATTGAGAATGAGAGAATATTTGCATGATAAAAACAAAAAAAAAGAGAAGAAATTAATATATGGTTATTTTATACTTGCTGTCATCGGACCACTTCTCTATGCAATAAAAGTTGTTATATTCAACGATCATTTTATTTCACCATCAACAGTTATCTAATCAATGTATACATAAAAATATGACGCCATATCTTTCACAACATCGTCAAGTGTAACTATAACTAATACCAAAATCGATCGGATGATCAAAATACATATGACTTGTGAATAAGTTTCTTCATATTGGCCTTGATTATTGACATCATTCATTATTTTATGAAATAAATCAAGGCATGATGTACAAACCAATTACGTAACAAGAAAAAAGCAAAAAATCAAAGATTAAATATTCAATTTTTTTTGGTTTTTTATTAAAGTTGCATTTTTCTTCAGATATTCATTCTTCAGTATTATATGATAAATAATAATGAATACAACACGATTAATGCTTGATAATACTTATAATTTATTTCTTCCATTATCGGATGATTATATTAAATTAAAAAACAATCAATATAATACATTTCTTCTATATTTTGGTTTGCCTAATTCTCCTATTACAACAATTCATACTGATGACAGATTAGTATCAACATCAGAATCAGAAATTGAATCTAATTCTTATGAATTACATATATCTGATATGTAAGATGATAACAATTATTTTAATGAAATTAATCTTAAAATTATACTTTAGAAATAACAATATATCAAATGAAATAGTTTATCAAACATTTTTTTCTCAACTTTTACATAAGTTTGCTTTATTCTATTTGTTTAATGAAATTTTTACTCTTTAATATTCTTTAGGTTTTCAATATTCGATGTATTACCATTCGAAGAATTTCAATTAGAACTTTTTTTAAAAACTTGTGAAGAATATTTTTCACTTGTGGGTAAGTTTTATAATATTTTAATATATCGCGATACAAGCATTTTTTTTTTTCTCAAACTTTTTAAGATAAATTTAATACTCCTATATTTGCTCCATTGAAAGCAGATGTTAATGGTAATATTAATGTAAGTTTATCATCAATATTGTTACATTTTTATTTATTGATTTTTGTTTTCGTAAATTCAAGAAATTACGACAGAAAATGAATGAAAATGTAATAAAATTTCAAACATTACATTCAATTCTTAACGATGAAATCGAAGCACAAACAACAAATGCAAAAAATTCAGCAACAGATGCTTTACTTTGGTTAAAACGGTATTATATTATTTTCTTTTTTTCTATTGAAAAATATTTGAAGTTTAGTTTTTTGTATTTAGAACTTTTGAATTTATATCAAGTTTTCTATATGAATTTGGTATAGGTGATAAAACTCTAGTCGATGCTATAAGCAAAGCTTATGAACAATCATTAAGAAAGTATCATGGAATGTTGGCTAGAAGTATTTTTTCAGTAAATACAATAGTATCTTAATGATATTAAATTGATTATATATATATTTTAGTTTGCTCTTCGTGCAGTACCTAATGGTGTAGAATTTGTTCGTTCACTTGCCATCAATTCAAATGATGCTTTAGAAACTCTCTTTGAACAACAAGTGATTATTCTTTTTTTTTTAATCTTAGCTTGTACAATGCAATATATTTATTATTTAAGGTACTCAAAGAAATGCTCGAACATTCTTTAAGTATGTCATCTGTATTGAAAAAAATAACATTATTCTATTGGGAACATGGACTTGAATCACCAATAATCACAACTTAATTTTTTCATACTTTTTATGCAGCTGTGCAGCTTTTTCTTTTTATCGTAGAGTAAACATGTAGCGATGATAGTCAAATGAATGTTATTTTCGTATGTGAACATTTTTTTTGTTTTGTGCGACATCTGTCATTTAATAAAATTAATTAATTGATTGATTGTTAAATAATCTAAATTTATTATTATGATTATTTTGGAAAATTTTTTTTTGTTAATTAATTGTTGAAATTAAGGTAAGTATAATAGAGTGTTATTATGATATATAAATGGCGTTTAGTCTTTTGTATGAATTGACCAATCAATTGGTAATTCTATGTTTCAGTGTTTGAAAATTTTGTTTTTGTCTATGTAAAGTATTTTGATTTTTAAAATGGCTTTACGAACTCCGATGAAAAAGACACAGTTTGGTTCACGAGATTTACTAGCTAATGGTGGTGGTTGTCCAGTTGAAGTAAGTTATTGTTCTTTTTCTTTTTTCTTCTTTTATTTTGTTTTTCAAGGTCTTCTGTCGTTTGCGGCCACCTAAAGATAATAATAACGATCAGGAAATAGATAATACTTCGTCTATTAAAATTTTAAGTTCAACAGAACTTACTCTTTACTCATCTGAGGTAAGTTATTCAATATTTATCATCAATTGTTATTTATTTATCCTAGAATGCTAAAAATGGTCAAATACGAGAAGTAAATATTTGTTATGATTTATTTTATTTTCTATTCAAAATTTATTTATTTAGTCTCATTATCAATTTACTCATATTCTTACGGATGATGTTTCACAATCAGCTGCATTTAAAGAATTGGCCATACCTTTTCTTGATGATCTTATTCAAGGAAAAAACAGTATGTGTTTCTTTTTTTTGTATAATTTAAATCTATTTTATATCAAAAACAAAAATTTAGGTGTATTGTTTACATATGGTATAACAGGTTCTGGAAAAACTTATACAATGATGGGACCATTAAATAATCCAGGTTTAATTCCACGTTCATTTGATGTGATTTTTAATTCAATTGGTCCATATCTTGGAAAGAAATATGTTTGTTTTGACATTTTTTGTATTTTTGAATTGAATTTTCTTTTCTAGCTTCTTCGTTCTGATCGTCAAAATGGTTATGAAATTCAAAGTGAAACTGAAATTTTACTTGAACGACAACGAAAAGAAATTCCAATAATAAAAATTAATAATAATCAACGTACAAAGTTAGTTTATCTTGTTTTCTTTAAACCATTAAACAATCTTTAATGATCTATTGAATGAGAAACAGTTGAGAAATAAATCTTATAATATTATATATGAATTTCGTTTTTTTTCAGATGGATAGGAAAGAAAAAAAAAAAAACTTTATTAATTAATTTTCTGAAATTCAAATTTGTATTTTTTGTAGAATTTCTGAACCAACAAATACTCGTACATTAGATATGACATCAATATGGAATGCACAATTAAATGAAAATTGTTCATATTTTATTTTTGTTACATTTGTTGAAATTTATAATAATTATATATATGATTTATTTGATGATGATATTCTCAATAAGTAAGAATTTTTGTTATGAAAAAATAACAAGAATAAATTTAAATTTTGTTAGAGCACCACAATCAAAACAATTACGTGAAGATAATCGTGGACGACCTTATATAAGAGATGTTAAAGAAATTGAAGTACGTTCAAGTGAAGAAGCTATTGAATTATTAAATATGGGTTTAAAACGTCGTCGTATTGCACATACACAATTAAATACTGAATCAAGTCGATCACATAGTGTTCTTTCTATGCGTCTTGTTCAATTTCATAATAATATTCCATTGACATCACTTGTATGTTTTGTTTTTTTTTTTGTTTTAAATATTTTTTTTTTAATCTAATAGACAAAAGATGATCTTATAATAAGTACAATTCATTTGGTTGATTTAGCTGGTAGTGAACGTGTTAATCGAGCAAAAACTGTTGGTGAACGAGTAAAAGAAGCGAGTAAGAAAATTTTTTGAAATTTTTTCTTTGATTTCGATTTGAATATACCACTTAAGGTAATATTAATTCATCATTAATGGTTCTTCGACAATGTTTTGAAGTTTTACGAGAAAATCAAGCACAAGGTACAAGCAAGGTAATTAA